TGGCTGCTTACTCGATTTAATAACGCTATTTAAACATTTAATTATACCAAGTTAATACGATTTTTCTTTTTTTTCTCTCTCTTTCTAACTCGATCGTCGACGACATTGCATGACGACGGCTCTTTTTTCCTTTTTATTCATTGGCTTCTCGTTGCTTTGGTGTATTTATTTTTTTCTTTTCTGCTGTTCGTACTTACATGCACACACACATTACTCGCATTCTATTTGCATACGTTGCATGTACATCTTTTTGTTGAAAGATTTACGATCTGTTTATACAACGAGCTAATTTTATGGGAGACAAAAGAAAAAGACCAACAAAACTGAACAAGTTGCAAGTTTGTTCAACTAATGCACACGCGGCGGCAACGGTACTCACATCACCAATGGTGTTTCTCTGAATCAATTTCTGGTTTTGGTTTAAGCCATATGAAAATCCACAGATTGTGTATGTCGAAGAGAGAGAGAGAGAGAGAGAGAGAGAGCATATGCCAAATTGAAAATAAATAAAATGGTATGTGCATGTTTTATGAAAAGGATCATAAAAACAATGCGTATGTATGAAATAACACACACACATAACGCAATCGGCAGAAACAGAAAAAAACACCAACCGCCTGTACACTCCTTTGGAATCATTCTGTGGCACACAGAACAATCATTCAACAGAAGTAGCGAAATAAAACGAAAACACAATTCGTACGTGTGCGTACTTGTGGATATGGTCGGTACACTCGAAATTGTTATTTTTACATCGCAATATGATGCATCGATCTCAATCTTGAATTGAAAATGTGATGCAATAAATACACGCAATTTATGCTCGGCAATTCATGTAAAACACACGACCCATTTGCATTTACATCATCGAATCATTCATCCTTTTCTGCGTATTCATCCGTTACACACGATCACTCAATGCATTTGGCTAGCATAACGTTGTTGTTTTACTATCTCGCACTGCCAGAATAGAAACGATTTATAATAATTATGAGCGCCATTCTAAACGAAATTCTAGTTAAAATCATTAATCAGATTGTGGTTTCATCGGCACCGAAATAAAATCACTTGACGCAACTTGAAAATACGACCGGTTGCACTCGAACACACATTTCTAAACGTAGCATGTTGTACATGCTGCTGTTCAGTTTTTTAATCAGAAACAAAAAGAAAACAGTGTACAGTACGGTGCTTGGCATTTTGAGACTATGAACTTGGTGTCGAAGAAAGAGAAACAAAAAGAGTCATCGTCTCTCTTTCTCGCGCAACTTTGTGCACTGTGCAGAGACAAGAAATATGACTTTTAAAATGAAATTGGAAAATTTATTTACGCATGCTGCTTTTACAAAGGTTTGCGCGTATACACAAATCGTTTTAATGATTTGCAAATGGCCAAATATATTTGACGTTAAGTGCGCGCCTCGCGAAAAATCGACCAAAAACTGGCAATTTACCATACGAAAAGAAAACAATGCCAAAAACACGATGTGCTTCAGTTTGAGCTATCTCTTTCTTTCTATCGCCATCACATTTATGCTTACTCGTTGTCGGTGCTTGTGTTAAAATGTTATTAAAAAAGTAACACAGCCAATAACAGCAAACAGTACTGTAAATGCTTATTTAAATGGCCATTTGAAAGTAAAACTAAGTTCTAAATGGTATTGAGAGATGGAAAGAGAGAGAGAAAAAGAGAGAGAGAGAGAGAGAGGGAGAGAGAGACGGAGAGAAAGACGATATTCATGCCACACGTAAACCTCATAATATCAAATATTCGAAATACGTGGCCATTCTGTTTGCAGACATGCTCGCATCATTATATCACATAAGAATAAAAATAGACCAAACGAAATCCAAAAAGCAGAAGAGTTGAGGGAATAAAAACAGTCCGTGAAAAAAAAGAAACACGGAAACCGAAGCGAAAATATTGTGTCTTATTGTGTGTACATGAAGTAGCGACGTCGTTCTCAATTTTCATCGTCGGCCAAAGAGCGAGACCGTGCCAAAAGGATTGACGACACACAAATACACACAAGAAAACAAAGAAATAAACAAAGAGCCCGAAATGCCATGCATACAACAAACTCACAACATTCACATTGCACAAATAATTTTGGCTCATTGCCATTTAGTGTGCTCTTATTATTACGGTGTGGACTGCGGAGTGTCTGTCGTGGTGAAAACGGTAGCGTATTTCAACACAAATATGCTATACTAAATTTCCAATTTACAAGTGAAAGCAATCTTTCTTACAGTTTGCAGCGCTGACTCTATTTGATTCTATATTTGTGTATGTATGTTTTCATTCGGTGGCAGTCATTTCTCGGCAAATGCAAAAGAAAATCGAATAAACGAAATAAAAGCGAAAAAGCTTGATGCGCACACTGCGCTCTCAACAAATAGACAAAAAAAACCGAATGTTTATGTTTCATACGGAGAACACAATGGGCAAATAGGAATCTTTGCAATATTCGTTTTCGTAGACGAACGACGACGCGACAAAAAAAACGACGACGGCAAAAGATGAAGCACACTAAACTCAAGAACATATCATACATTTATAGCACTTATTTGCACTCACCAAGTCTTTTTATTATTCCCTTTGTGATTGTTGCAGGCGCATTTAGCCTTATTTTGCAACTCACTTGTCGCCTTCTTTGCCTTTCTTCATATCTTTTTATCCGCGGCGCGCGCTTAACGCACGCCACACTCAAACAACATTTTCAACATACTTTCATGGCCAGACCATTATTTCGGCGACTAAGTACTAAATCTGTATACACCGTTAAATTTGACGATGTAGACGATCCTTTCTTTTTCAAAATTCCTTTAGCCCATTTGTTTCACTTTAATCTGCTACTTATTATATCAATATTTGAAATAAACAAGCTGCAATGGCATTGAATCCATTCGATGTCATTTCCGAATTAATCCGAAATACTCGCGGATATTTCATTGTGTATCGACGTTGTTCATTCAATTTCAATGGAAAAAGGAACACGGTCCGAAATTCGTAGATAGAGCAAAATTAAACTATAACACTCTCCACATAATTCTCATCGTCAGCTAAGTAGTCGTTCTCATTATTTATACGTGCTTTTGAGCTTCGGATTTTTCCACAACAAAAGTGCCTCGAACAAATTTGTGCACTGGAATTCGCACAGTGAATTGTTTTGTTAATACCATAATTCTGTTTAATGGTGCACACTGTTTTCGGTTCTCTTCCCTGCTCTCGATGCCGCTCATTGCTTTCGTGTATAGTCAAGGCGATGTGCCGGGCTGTTTTCTTTTTTTTTATTTCGTCATTACGTTCATTTTGTTTCTTTTGTTTGTTGCCACCAATGCCAATTGTATTCAAAGCCAAACATGCTAATGTTATGCCTGCAGCCATTTGCTCGTGTTCGTTCGCCCATATTATCGATTCGGGCTTTTCACCGACAATGCAAAATGAAAATTCTCTTAATGCCAAGCTCATTCAAGTGCTTCGAATTTAATTTGCCTTATCAAATGGCAACTTCATTTTATAAATTCCCTAATAAGTTTCTCGCTCACACACACACACACATGTTTGTATTCGTTCATACCGTTTGCTTCATTTTCAGTTTTCTCGATTCGGTCTGTGCATGTACGAAACGCACGAAATAGAGCGAGATTCATTTTCTCAGTTGCCTGAATCATTTGTTTGTATTGCAGAAATTTATGCATGCTCGTTTCGCTACCGCTATTTCATTTTACATTTTTGGCTTGTTTTTTTCTTCATCTTCTTCTTCTTCTTCTTCTTTTCATTCTGTTCAATGTTGTGTCTTATTTTGAATGTATTTTTGGATTTAATGTCGTTGATGGTGTTGTTGCAGCAACAGCACCAATGAAAATCATACAGAATTTGAGCAAAATTTCGAGATGATAGCATAGCAGTTCCTTTTTCCAGATTTTATGCGATCAACGGGACCACGTAATATATTAGTGGCAAACTGGGAGCCAGACACACACAAAATGAGAGAGCGAGACATGGAGTGTGTGTGCAAAAGTTAGTTGATGTCGGGTTTTTTTTTTTTTTTGGTTGGTTTGTTTATGCACTTGTATGTTATAAAATGTTTTTGCACCACTCGGAAAAATGCAACTCTCTTTCTCTCTTGCTTTCTTGCACTCTCTTTCGTTCTATATCTACATTTTTCGCTCAATGACATATTCTCGACACTGGCTTCGGCATTTTGAATCACAAAATTAACTGAAAATAAACAAATGCCCGAATGCACACAAGAACAGTAAAAGAAAAAAAAAAGAATAACGAGAGAAAATAACTCTTTCTTATTTGTTTTGCTTGCTGAATTTCCATGTAATTGTGAACGAGAGATTTTTAAATTTCATTTTAATTTCGAATCGAGCGTATGGATTATGTTGTGTGCTCGAGATAAATACGCTTTTTCTATGTGCCGGCTCTGTGAGCATGGAAAAAAGACAGATTTACTCGAAGAAATTTTCGGATTTAACAAACAACAAGCGAATTTCACCAGCTGTTCGTACATAGATTCTCGCTTTCTGCACATCACTTTTTGCTACGCCGTGTGCCGTTCAAGGAAGAAACTCGTGAATGTATATTAAAAAAAACGATAGTAAAACGACTACAATGCAATGTAGCCTAATGAAAAAAACCTTTTTCTCTTGCTCGTCAATCTAATTAAAAATAAACTTTTTTAATTGCAATTTACACCAACGGAATGGTATTATCTAAACCGTTACAAATGAAAATACGACGGAAATATTGTGAGAGATAGGAATTTGCTTAGAATATTTTGCACACTGTTCTGAATTTTGAAATTTACTTATTCCTCAACTATGCAACTCATTGTGTCTGTATGTAATCATTTCGTCATTATTTTCAGACGAAAGAAATATATTCTTTTCACGTATAAATAAATTCAAATGGAATTAAATGCATCTATGCACATATTCATAAAACTCATATTATAACGTTTTTCTCTCTTTTTTTGTCTATTCAACAGCACAATATCGTACGCCTCGTATAACGGAACATCCAAGCGACATAGTTGTACCGAAAAATGAACCGGTCACATTAAACTGCAAAGGTATGTATTTTTTGCACCTTTTTTTGGGTGTTAGAGTGTTTTAATATTACTATTGAAATTATTTAATTGGAATTTAGCCGAAGGAAAACCAGACCCGGTTATTGAGTGGTATAAAGACGGTGAACCGGTCAAAACTAGTGACAATGACAATAAATCACATCGAGTTCTCTTGCCATCCGGATCGTTATTCTTTTTACGCACGGTGCACGGGAAAAAGGAACAAGACGGTGGTGTCTATTGGTGTGTTGCCAAGAATTTGGCTGGAAAAGTATTCAGCCGGAATGCAACACTTCAAATAGCTGGTAAGTGTTTTATTTTATTCATCACTTTTATTCGGCGAATTTTATCGGAATGTTTTTTAACTTTGACGACGGTTGAAATTGATTTTTTTTTGGCCGTACTTGAAACCCTTGACATCTCATTTTATTGCCAATCTAAATTAAGCAAAAGAATCAATTCGTTTAGGTCAAATTCATATTGCGTTTAGTCTTTGTTGAATCGGTTACATTCTTATGGATAAAATTATAAAGACGAATGCATACTTCGGAGAGAGATAGCCACACCAACTAAAAATAATAATCAAAACAAAAATGATTAATGAGCCTGACACAGCGAAAGAATAAATCATACGCGATTTATCATTTGCGAGCGTTTTTTTCTCTGCTGTTTTGCACTGCATGCAGATGTCTAGACTTTCTGCGAAAAGAATAGTCACTTTTCGACTGCATTCACGTACGCACATATTGCGAGTCAGCAAAAAAAAAATCCTTAAACAAGTTGATCGTCCATCGAGTTAATGATTTTGTTGACTGGTAAATAGGCTTGGAATGAAATCACCATATCTCAATTAAAATTGCATTCGAAATAGATACATCACATTCGGTGAAAATCGTTTTTAATATCTCGACTCTCTGTCTCTGTCAGAAATGTTTGCACATTGTATTTATCAAGCAATCATGATACCAAATACCGTATAAATGACTTGATGCAGTTTTGCGCATCTTGACAACAATAATAAAAGACAGCATTACATTTAAATTGACTTTGATTCAAGTAGATAAATGAATGAGTATGCGGGAAATTACATACAATATAAAAAAAACATATTATTTTCATGACGAAACTATATAATCATATGTTCATATTCATGAAGAAAAAATTCTTCCATTTTTTTGGTTTAAAAAGATGAAAAAAATGTATTTGTAAACTGTGCCGCACGGGAAAAGGTTTTTGTGTTTATTTAAAATCCCACATTTCCAAGAGATTATTCGACTTTTAACGGCTTTTAAAAACAAAACCAAAGTTAATGATTTCAATTGACTGGCAGTGAAATTGGAAATAAAAGGCTTGGTTGAACGATTTGTTTCCATTAATTTGAATCATGGTAACAAACCAGATTCGGCATCGTAGTCAAATGAAAGTATTTTTTCTTCATTTCTTGCTGCTGCTACTGCTGTTGTTTATTTGGAAAGAACGAAATAAAAACAGAAAATGTGTAATTGATTGTGTGGGTCGGTGCAGTTTTTCGAACCTATATATGTATAATATATTCAGCAGGAACAATGAGTCAACAAGATTTAATTAAATTATCCCTATTTACCACAACTGCGCTTCATTAAACTAGATGCCATTCAATCTCAATTGTGAACTGTTTTACTACGTTCTCTCTCTCTCTCTTTCGATATATATATTTCAGTTTTTTTTTTTTCATTCTTAGGGTATGATGCGTGTGCATTACCAACCAGTAATATGTGTCTCTTGAGAATATCAATGCGTTCATTTCGGTTTCCGCATAGGAAAAAAACAAAACTCAAACTGTAACATATTTTTGGTTGCGGAAACAAAATATTATATACTTGAAGTGAATATGAAAAGGCCATTTCATAATGATTTATACCAGTTAATGCATCATTAATGGCACTCTCTGGACAATTGGCAAACAAAACTGAATCGCGTTTTTTCACTATATTTTAAACTTGGGACTCTTTCATAACAATATTTTAAAATAAATGTTGATAAAAGAAGCAAAATTTATTGAATATTGAATATTAATCATTAATTTCACGAACATTTTTCGTTAAAATATTGAATAATATGTTAAAAATTGCTATTAATTAAATGTTTCAACGGAGAGAAATACAAATTACATTATGTTCAATACGTGTTTGATATGCTATTCATTAAAACATATCAATGAAAAAAGCCACTTATTTATCAATCAGCATTACAAAAAACCCTTTTTTCATTTAAATCCTCAAACATTTTCGAATCACAGTCAAAAATGGCTTCATATTGCAATTTCTGCATTGTGAATACATGGAAACCATTCACAGTAATAATAATTCAGCAACTCTATCCAATTTATTGAGAGAAAAAAAGGAAGATAGAAAATGAGCTCATGCGACTTAAATAAAGGGAGATGGTTCAATTTGAGTACGGAAATAATATACGTTAAAATCACAAAATGGATAATAATTTAATGACGATGTCAATGGTTGTTGTTGTAACAATATGTGTGTAAAATTCATAATGGTCACAAATAGAAATCCCTTTTCCAGACCTGCACATATGGGTTCGAATATACAAACAAACAAACACACACACACATCCACAAACTGAAAAATGTGGGGTGAAATTTACGGTGTATGTCATTGCGTGTGGTATTGCATCACAAAACATACTGAATCTAAATCCATATTGCTTCGAAAAATGGAAGTGGTCTATTCGGTCGGTTGTTAGTCGTTTGATGTTGCAGTCGAAATTGAGAAAATGTACCCCGCAATTGATTGCGAAGGACGGGATTGTCATAGCCAAATTCGATGAGTGCATTTCACATCAAACAGATTACTATTATCGTAGAGAACCGAAAGGGATGACAAATAAGATGAAAGCAATGCTTTCTATTCTTTTACCGGATTATGTAATTTCCATTTATAACCGAAAAACACCGACGAAGAAAACCGTACAGATTCACTTAAAATGCGTTCGGGTGTATTGTTTGGTTGAAGAATATTAAATTATGATTAGCTCCGATATGGGAATTAAATCACAGACTGCATTTCGGTGACTCTGTATGGCTTCATATTTCATTCGATGCGTAAAAAAAGCATTTTGCGTACTCTCAGTCGATCAGACTTAAGTGAAAATAAGGGAGCGAAATGAACGGTGCACACATTTCATTACGATGTGGTTGCAATACCACTGATTTTACGTTTTCATTTTCGGTAACGTATTTTCAGTTTTACTCGTCTGGCCCAGACTAATGAATCTGACAAGGAAGGCGCATAAAAAATTGAATGCGCTCCCTACTTTTTGTTCCAAATATTTTGGTATCTCAATTTGCTTCGAGGTTTTCAAGTAGGAGTGTCGCACCTCATTCAATTCTCAAGCAACAAATATATATTCTTTGCTTCTCGAATTTTATGTGCACTCTTTTTAGGTGTTTTTTTTATATTCACTTTACTTGTGCACACATGCAACAAAGTGTAATTTATACATCATTAGGTGCGCACGCTGTTTCTTTACAACAACAAAAAACAGAGACCGAACACAATTGCTTTGTTTTTTTGGTGCACACCATAAGCTATACGAGCATTTGCTCTCACCCTCAACATGCATACCAACCAACTAACTAACGGATGAATATAAAAAAGAAGAAGTCGACGTAGTGAAACAACTGCGACTCACTCACACACACACACACCCTTCGACCTCATTAAACGCATTTAGGTTCGAATAAAAAGCGAATCGAAATGAATCGGCTGCTGCCAGTGAGCTATTAGGTTACACAATGCCTTTAAATTGATAAATGCGATATGCTATATACATAATTTTTTTCTCGTTCACTTTTGATGTGATTGTTGATTTCACTGTTGCTTCTTGGATTCCATATCAATTTAATATTGCGTCACAATTCGCTAATTAAGTCACTGACACCAACAGCGCAAATGCATTTCATTGCACTTCACAGCCGGTTGTTGTTGTTCATCTCTCTTTCGGTGGCACTGCTCTCGTTTGGTGACACGAGGTGAATGTGCAATTGACAGCATGTCTGTGATGGGTGACAGATGGTCGATTGAAAGGTTTCATCGTATCAATTTAAAGACCCATTGAACTGGACCCGGAATTCACTTGGATAATGAAATTCTCATGTATCTGCTGTCATTTTTATTGCATTTTTATTATTTTATGCCTTTTTTTCTTCTTCATTTTTATTCACTCATTTCTTTTCGCTCTCTCTTTTTTCTTTGTTGTATAAAGAAATTCTCCTTTCGTTCGGCTCATTGTCGACGACGACCGAATTGATTTAAATGCATCGAAATGAACTAATAAACTCGACTTATAATTTACGCGTCTCCATTAAAATAAGTAATAAATTACGGATTTTAATGATAACACCTTTAATCACTTAATTTTTAAGCAAAGAATGAAGAGGAAATGGGATCAGTTCCAAGCGAATAAACTTGCTCGACCATTTTAATTTTACTTTTTAATTCAAAGTTATTCTCTCACATTTTTATGTGTAAATTTCGTTTTTTGAAAAAGAACAATCTTCTCGAATTTGTCCGGTTGTCGTTTATCTATCATCGAATAGACTTTGAGAAAATGACAAATATCGATTGACCGACCGGAATATGCAGAAGCAATTCCACGAAACAATTAGTTTTTCTTTTACGGCAACAACAACCATTGAAATCGATGGAAATAGAAAAGTCGATATTACGCATTCAAAACACATCGCCGATGTGACAAAAACGCATTGAAAATGTCTTGGCTGTGTGAATGAAGCACCACACATCGATTCATCCGCCGATTTTTGTGTTTCTCAGACAGCGAGTCTTACATCATTTTTCGAGAGACAATTCAATATGATTGTCAGCTTGACGTGCTTTCCGCACTCAATACTATATTATACATATTCACTTTCAATGCGATGAAAAAAAAAATTATTTTCCGCGCTGTTACTGACATGGTGGTGTGCACATAAGACAGATAGACAATTCGCGACAAAGCGGACAACTCAATTGGTAATAAAAATATCACAGTCTAGCGCAATGAATATGAAAATAAATTGCAAATATTCAAAGAGTTTTTTGACATTTTCATTCATTTATTACGATAGAATATACGTATAACCATTGAAAGAGGCGCCAAGAAATTTGTCACCATATTACATTTCATTAGATTCTCTTCTTCATCGATGATGACTGATTAATATTCCCTTTGGATGATATTTGGCATGCATTTTATTTCAAGCAATTTATTACATTGTAGCCACCAGAATGGTTACGAATCTACTCGA